AAGGGGAAAAGAAACGAGACGGGCGGCTGCAGCGGGTGGGCGCCCTGGGGTCGCAGCGGGGGCTCACCCGTTAAAACACGCGCTGCCCCAGCAGCAAAGGCAGGGAAGCCCCCAGGGGGAGGGGTCAGCACGTTCCCAACGTGCTAACTCCAGAAACGTGCTAACTCCAAGAACTCCAACCTGACAGAACTGCTCTTTCGAGCAGGTCCAACCCAAACACAAAGCCTGTATGTACCTCTGGACAGGACACAAGAAACCTTCTCCACACCCAGCTGCTGGGAAGGGCAAGCTGACCTCCCTACCCAGCCTCACAGGCAACTGAGCAGCACTGGAGGCTGCACTCAGCAGCTGCAGAGCTCTACAGACAGGCACCCGGTGCCTGCGCATTTCAGGGAGAGCCCAGTTCGTCGCCCAGCACCGCTGCAGGTGACAGCCACTCATCCACGCGCAGAGGCTCGCAACAGCACGAACGGCTGCTGATCGGTGAGGCAACACGACAACGTGGGTTTTGTCCCTACGAGGTTTGGCTCTGGTCTCTATCCAGCCTCTGCTAAGGCTTGTAAGGAACACTTAGAGCAGGAAAAAAAGTACCCTTGATATTCTGGATCTCAATGACTCCAGGGGAAAAGCACTTCTGCAGCAACTCAGCCGCCTCATCCTCCACAGGCTGCAGCAGAGTAATGTCAGGAAGCAGTCGGTAACTAGCCGTGGCCACGGGAGAAAACTTGGCGTGATCTTTACCTGCGTGAGGAGTTCAGAGTCAAGGATGAGGGCAGGCCTCAGGGAACGAGAGCAGAAGGACACCGGGGCCTTCAGGCCCGTTCCAGGGGGAAAGTCAGCTCTCTGCCCTTCCCCTCCCCGCAGCTGCGCCCCAGCCCAAGCACTCACACCCTCCTCCCGCTGCGCCAGGCCCCAGGACTCACCGACACCCTTCACACAGTGCATGAGCACATCTATCTCCTGGCCAGGCCGCAACAGCGCGATGAGGATGTCATCGTGAACGGGTCGGAAGTCGGCATCCGGGAAGAGGTCTGTCTGGTTCCCCAGGGGCACCCACGTCATGTGTTTGCTGTACACTGCGGAGGGAAGCCACCAGCATCAGCCAGCTGCTGCCTCCAAACTGGTCGCTGGCTGGAGACAGCAACGAGGGAAGTTTAGCAGAAGAAGGGAATCGGCTCGCTCTGCTCACGGGGCGGAGAGGACAGACCAAATCCTGTCTCCCAAGACCGAAAAAGTCAGCGCAGATCTTTAGGAGAGATCTCACCTTTGTGATTGAAATACAGTTCATTAGGATCAGATGACTCCTTGGCTGCCTGAGGGTTTCGGCTGCATTTTATTTTCAGCTGGAACTGCAGAGTATCAATTTCTGTGCCTTCTTCATCTCCTGAGGAGGGGAGAACAGCATGAGCCTCTGTGGAGCCGCACTTCTGTTCAGTTCACATGAGCCTGATCTCCTGCTTTGGGGAAAACCTTCAGTGTTTCAACTTGATCCAAGACTCTCACCTTGGTTCCTGTATTCAAAGAGTCGAGGGTCAGCTCGGATAGGGATGAGGCCCAAGCGGTGAGCCAGAATTTCATCCTGCACAATGGATGTGTTGTTGTACACAAAGACTTTCTCTACAGCCATCGTTGGCACCTCAGGGAGACAACAGATCAAGCCAGTGTAAGATGACAGTTGAACTACAGAATATCCCTTCTCTCCCATGAATAACCCCCCTGCAGGCTAGTTCCAGTGGTATTTCTACCAAACCAGGCTACCCCATAGGCTCTTACCCCAAACATACCCCCTTCCCCGGTTGCTTTTCTAAGCAAAGGATGACAAGAGGCAGGGCAGGCCGATCCAGACGCCACCAACAGCGCCCTGAAGCGCCACAAGCGCTCCCACTCGTGCTGCCCGGGCCCTCGCTCTCCC